TATAAGTTAGCTTTTTTACAGAAATTTGTTGTTCCTTTAAAAAGTTTAAGTACAGGGTGAAACAGGAATTACCAGCCAATAATAGATATATACAATAAATATTACAGTTGGAACCTCATCGTATTTAGAACTTGGTTATAAAAACAACCTTCCTATGTCTATTGAAACACTGCATTAAAGAAACTAGCAAACAAGTGATGAAAAAACTTTAAAAAAACGAAGTAATTGTAGAGATGGCTAATATCAGTCCTTCAAAAAGAATGCAAACAAGATAATAGGGATGATGCAAATGCCTAACAGAAATTTCTCAGCACATGATAGAATGTAGTTAAGCTACCGAATACCGAAACTGAAGAGATGTTACATTGGATTTTTGTTTGGGATTATTCTTACATTTTCAAAATACGCCATGAATACAAAACAAAAATCATAATAATTAATGACCAACCTGAGAAGGATGAAACTCCAAATCAAGACATAAGTAAATGATTACTTAGTTACTTTCTGCCAGTTGATGTGTACATGTGTGTTGGAAGCACAATGTTTGTAGGGGAGCCAAAGTTTGAAGTCAATCAAACTGGTCAGAAATGTAACTCCCTTTGAGAGGAGGAAACTACGGGGGATCGGTTTGTTAGGTCGGGGGAATAAAAACACAAGCGAAATTAATGTGAAAAAAGCAATTTAATAATCACCTTAAATGATGTTCTATCTTTTTTTACGCTAATCTCTCTAATCTTTTCGATTGTTTTTATCAAATTTATTTTAGAATCTATATAATTATATTGAGTCATTATTTACGCAATTTTGTTGGGAAAATCGTAAACTCATCGAAACTATGGAAATGGGAAGAAGGCGAAGTGAATGCTGGCCTTCCTGTCCCAACGCTTGTCTTTGCTGTTAATCAGTACATTTTCAAGATGGTTAGCCCCCAGTAGCCCAGCGGAATGTATTCGGACTTGCAACGCTATAAACCGGGTTTCGATACCCCTGATGGGCAGAGCACAGATAGCCCATTGTGTAGCTTTGTGTAGTAGTTTATCTACTAACACTATTAAAGCTGGAACCCTACACAGAACATAGGTTTTGTTGCATTTTGGTTACACATTCATATCGGCTAAACATTCACATTAGCTGTGATTTGTTTACTATTTTGGCCACAAAATCTTATCAAACATTGGTTTTTTCTACCATAAATTAATATTGGGCATCGGTTCTGTTTCTTTTAAATAAATTAACGTAATAAACGTTGTGTATCTTTTTGGAGTTGAATAATATCATAAGTTTTTTACCAATAAGGCCCAAAATCTACATCAAAAATACGTTGTGTACCATTTCGACTCAAAAACTACACGAAAACGAAGGTTGCGTATCATTTAGCTGTTAAACGCAGTTATCTTCGGTTTTGTACAATGTTGGCCATAAACCTGTAGACAAAGACTGTGTACTACTGTGTCCATATATAATTTACGAGTCATTCGGCGTGTAATCCACATCAAGCTTAGTTCGCCTAACACTTTGACCGCTGTAGAATGTATTTCCATAATTCAAACGTTATTACTATTGTTGCTATATGCAGGTTATATATATTTCAAATTCTCAGTTGAATTGATCAACCTGCTCTAAATATGTATGATCTATGAAGTTGAAATTTGATGTCAGTTTATATTGTAATATTTCAACTCTTATATCATGAGCTGGAGTCATTATTTATAAGCTGTTTTTTTTTAGCTTTGGCTTACAGGGTTAGTTCACTTTTGATTAGAAGTTATTTATAATTGGTTACAGAAATCTGATGAACAAACTCAAGGTAGTTGAGCAAAAAGAAACAAACAAAAATGATACTTTTAAACACTTCACTGTGTAATTCGTCATTTTCACCATCAGGTATCTCCACTGCCAATGGAATCAATGGTCTGCATGCCATCAATGGTGTAGCTGGGATTTCTTCCGGGTCAGGGATCACTTTTCCTCTACCGGCGACCTTTCCCTGGGCTACAGCTCGCGGAAAGCCCCGTCGAGGGATGATGAGACGGGCGGTGTTCTCGGATGCTCAGCGTCAAGGGCTGGAGAAACGGTTCCAGATACAGAAATATATTAGCAAGCCTGACAGGAAGAAATTAGCCGAAAAGTTGGGACTAAAAGATTCTCAGGTATGATTTGCAAAAAACACATTAATTTAAGTCTGAGTATCTTAACACAAAATGCTTAATGTAGTATAATGCACAACACAAAACATCAAAAATGTGGTATTAGACATCATATCCCAAAACAGCTAAGCCTAAAAGTATGTGTGTAAAACATTTCTCGCACAGATATCTGAATACAACTATTTACCATTCATGAATAAATCAATCTTAATCTTGTGAATGAATTACTTAACTGGGATTTTCTTGTTTAAACTATAAAGACAATAGCATTGAATAGTTGGTAAAGGTACTATTCTTTGGAAAGGTCTGTATACCTCATCGTTTGCCACAATATTGTATTATAATAGTTGATAAAGGTACTATTTTTTGGAAAGGTCTGTATACGTCATCGTTTGTCATAATAACGTATTATAATAGTTGGTTATAATAATATGTTATAATTCATTCAAAAACATAATGGATATAATGCACTAATCAAATTTTGTTCGCGAAAATAATTAATTCCTCACAATCATGAAAGTAGCATACCAATATGACTAATTTTCGTCATTATCTTTTGAATCTGGAGGCCTGAAAACTGACGATAATCGTTCCAACGATTCTCTCTTCTCACGTTAAATTGCATGACTGCCGCACGTGGTCTATTGGTCTGTTTGTGAAGTATTGGTCGCGACTAAGGAAATCAATGCTCGTCTTAGCTGCAATCTGTGAATTGTTGTACTAAAAGTGGTTTCTACCTCTCTCTCTCTCTCTATATATATATTGTGTGTATGTTTTGATCTTTTAAGTTTCATTAGATGCAGTTTTAATTCAGAGGATTTACTAAAACCTGTAAACTATTAAAATTTACATTTGATCCAGTTTTTATTACGTATAGATGTGTGTGTATGTTTGATCTTTTAAGTTTCATTGCATACAGTTTTAATTGAGAGTATTTACTGAAACCTATAAACTATTAAAATTAATATTTGATCCAATTTTATTGCGTATATATATGTGCATGTTTTGATCTTTAAAGTTTCATTGCATACAGTTTTAATTCAGAGTATTTACTAAAACCTATAAATTACTAAAATTAATATTGGATCCAGTTTTATCATTTGGTCTTGGTGTCTTTTCAGACTCCACATTCAAATAAGACGATAAACTTATATGAATGCTTTCTTATCGGTGCTCAGGTTTGAACAAAGACTGTCATTAGATTTTAAAGTACAAGTTGGATTTAACAGAATTCTGAGCAATCGGTATCATGTTTATGTCCAAAAACAAAAAACAAGAAATTCAATTCCTACAGTTTTGCTATGTAAATGAGATTACGTTCAGTATGAGTTGGTTGTTGAGAAACAGAATTTTGGTTTTAAATAAAAAACTTATAACACACAAACGTATATTATCAATAGTAATTTTAATGTTGTCGATTACATTAATGGTTTTATTGACAGGTTTAACCTTGTACGTATATTGACGTTAAACCAAGACCTTTGTGATACTTTATACTTGTTTTTGAAAGTCTTGGTTATAAGTGTATAACTTGGTTTTGTCAAAAGGCGTTGAGAATAGTATATACAAACTTTAAACTGTTAATAACAACCCATAAATTTCACAGTATTTCTACAATTCAGTTTAGCATCACAAAAAGAAATTCAATGAAAATACTCTATATTGAGAAATACATCTGCCACAACTTTAATTTGCTGAAGATACAGAGTCTAGTGAGGCCTATGAGTATGCAGAATATTTTAACCCTAAACTTTACCGAAGAGTTAAAACTGAATAATAGTGTTATTCAACAGATGTCACTTTCAACAGATTCTGGAATTGCATCCCCAACAAAGACATTCAAATCAAGCGCTTTTAACGTCTGCTGTCAGTAACAACGTGATGATATGGAGTTACTTAACAGTTTATAACACAATGGTTTAACTTATCTAACTTTATTAAAATCTAACAATTCTGCCTCAAGCATGTTATACTAATATCGAATATATTATTCAAGCCAAAGCTGTTTACTTATATTAACTTCAACAGTAACATTTATCTTTCAATTAATGTTTAAGCTGAAGTAATGTACATACAATTTGATATTGGAACAGGTTTTTATTCATGTCTTCGAAACTGGTATTTTTGGTAACTATTAATATTGTACAGAATTCAGTGGTATGGTAAGACTGATCTGTAGAGATGGGAATATTATAAGCATACGGTGGCATAGAAATACTTACCTGTGCACACTTGAATGTTATAAAGTATACAGTGACACAACAAGACTACCCGTAGTGACGTGAATGTTACTCAGTATACAGTGGCATGTTAAGACTTACCCGTAGAGACGTGAATGTTACTCAGTATACAGTGGCATGTTAAGACTTACCGTACAGACGTGAATGTTACCCAGTAAACAGTGGTAAGGAAAGACCCGTAGAAACGTGAATATTACACAGTATACGGTGGCAAGTTAAAATTTACCGTAGAGACGCGAATGTCATATAGTAAACAGTGGTATGGATTGGTTTGGTTTCTTTTTGAATTTCGCGCAAAGCTACACGAAGGCTATCTGCGCTAGCTGTCCTTAATTTAGCAGTAATAGACAAGAAGGAAGGCAGCTAGTCAACACCACCCACCGCCAACTCTTGGGCTACTATTTTACCAATGAACAGTGGGATTGACCGTCACATTATTACGCCTCCACGGCAAAAAGGGCGAGGATGTTCGTTGACATAGATTCAAACCCGCGACCTTCAGATCGCCGTAACCACTAGGCCATGCCAGGCCCAGTGGTATGGTAAGGCCGTACAGACGTGAATATTACACAGTATACGGTGGCATGTTAAAACTTACTATAGAGACGTGATTGTTACACAGTAAACACTGATATGGAAAGACCCGTTGATACATATATGTTATACAGTAAACGGTGGCATAAAAAATTACTTATGGAAGCTAAAATAAAATTCCATTATGATGTTCATGAGAACGAAGCACCATAATAGGAGGATGGGCACCAGTATTAGTGGGAGAATTTAAATCATATTTTATTAGTAGTAGTATTGATTTTTTTATTGTATAGATAAAAATATTTTCCCAGTTCCCTATCTTATGGAATAGTTTGGTTTGAACTTCGCGCAAAGCTACACGAGGGCTATCTGCGCTAGTCGTCCCTAATTTAGCAGCGAAAGACTAGAGGGAAGGTAGCTAGTCATTACCATCCATCGCCAACTCTTGGGCTACTATTTTACCAACGAATAGTGGGATTGACCTCTGAAAGGGCGAGCATATTTGGTGAGACGGGGGATTCGAAACCCGGGA